GGAAGATCAGCTCTGAGCTAACATCCAATGCCAATCCTCCTCTTTTTTTTTTTTTTTTTTGCTGAGGAAGATCGGCCCTGAGCTAACATCCATGCCCATCTTCCTCTACTTTATATGGGACACCGCCACAGCATGGCTTGACAAGTGGTGTATCGGTGCGCACCCATGATCCGAACCTGCAAACCCTGGGCCTCCGCAACGGAGCATGCGCACTTAACGGCTTGTGCCACCGGGCCCACCCCAGACTTTCATTTTTTATTTAAAAAATTTACACTATTTGTTACTTTTATAATTTTTGTAATTTTAGGAATTAAATTTGTTAATTTTGTGACTTCTTTGTAATTTTAATTAAGAAAATCAGCAGGAGATAGAACCTGTGGGAGGACAGGGAAGGAACTAACAATTATTGAGCACCTACTATATGCCAGACACTTTCCATATATTATCTCATTTAATTGTGAGAATAACTAGATAAGAGAGGCATTATTATTCCTGTTTTACTGATAGGAAAACTGGGGCTCAGAGTGATTAAGCAATTTCCCAAGTTCATGTTAGAATTCTGCATTGTCCTTTTGGAGTCCAAAGCCCAGACTCTTCCCAGCATGCTAGTATTTCTCAAACTGGGTTTCACAGACCTCTGGGAGGGGCCCATGGGTGTGTTCTCAAGGTTCATGAACTCTCCAGACAGTTCCTAAATTTTAGTATGTCATTTCAGTGATAATCTTTAAATAAATATGCTCTGGATCTTTTGGAAGACCATCTTAAAAGAGCACTTCAGACATCTGAATTTTGCTTGGTTATGCTAGTGTTGTTACTGTGGGGAATCAGAATTGGCCACCCCAAAATGTGTCTCTTTGGCATGAGGATTATTTTGGGCTAATGAGGATTATTACTTTTAAAAACTGCAGACACGGGAGAAGCTCTGAAAAGTAGAATTTACCCTTTGTAAGAGACATTTACATTTGTAAGGGAAATCTCCATCTATAAAGGTGTCTCCCTCTCTGTACCAGGAAGAAGGGGGATGACCTTATCTCTAGAAACTCTTATCAATGCGGAAGGCAAGGACTTAAATCTGCATAATAACCTTATTCTTATTTACTGTGCTTCTCTGGTAATCTCCCATAACTGACCTCCCCTTCCCACCCCACTCCACAACTAACAGCCTAAAAGAATTTAAGATAGAAGGCCTGTTCCAGGAAGGAGGTAATACAGTGAGATAACTATAATATAATGTAAAATAGGTGTGATAAGAAAGGCACCAACAAGCCCATCTTGTCAAAATTCTGTCTCTTGGGCCACACTCTCTATAGGTGGCCCAGTAAACTGTTGTCTAACAAACATTTGCTTTTCCTTCTCCATGTGAATTGCCTTCCTACCCTTTGAAGTCCCAAACCACTACCCCCAACATCCTCCTTTGTCTTTACCTGAAGATGCTAAGATGACAACTTCAGCCAGATGGCTGAGTTGCCCAGTTTTTCCTGAGTCTCTCCCATGTATACATGTTACAAAGCTTTGTTTGATTTTCTCCTGTTATTCTGTGTCATGTTAATTTAATTCATACCCCAGCCAGAAGGACCCAGAGTGGTGGAGGATATGTCTTCCTCCCCTACATTACCAAGTCAGATCCTACCTTAACTGTCCCAGGCCAATCAGAAAAGAACAGAGTGGAATTTCATAATGCATTCATGCCAAGGGAGGGCCAAATTATATTGTGGTTCAAAGAGAAAAAAGTGGTGGGGAAGAAAACACATTCTGAACATGGCAGCATATGCACATAAAACTCAAAACCTGCACCTCAAGAATCAGTGCTGTATTCATGTTTGGAATGGTGATTTTAGTTTTGGCCAAACATTAACTATTAAATTAATGTGGTTACATTTAAGTCTTCTTGACTTTGTAGTTGTGTGTGTTTTTATTTAAATTTTAAGTTTATTTTGGTTTTATAATTGCAGAAGAAAGATATACACAGGGGTTTATACCTGGTTTTATGTTTATACATCAAGTAACATAGTAAAATAATTTGAAAGTCATCATTGAGAGTAAAGAGAATGTTTCCTTTAAAGGGGCCCAGGTATGACTCAAATTTGAGAAGATTGCTATTATATCACTCTGCTTCTCTAGATGTGGAAAAGGACATTAAAAACCCTGAACTACATTATAGATATGATGATGGGGTTTTGGAACTAAAATCTAGATGCCTAATCTAACAATGGTACTGAGTTCAGGGAATGCAAGACATACTGTTGTTTTAACTGAAGGGGACACCTAGAGAGAAACTGAAGAGCCAATTACTGGGCACATCATGTCAGGCCTCTCAGGACCACTCCTGGAGAAATGGAGAGTCTCGACTCTGCAGAACAGCTTTCAAGCACAAATGTGTATGTATTCTTGGTAACCCTCCCTAGCGAGTCTCCTATGATTAAAACAAGCAGAAGATAAAATTTTCTTTTAGGATGCAAGTCCCTAGCAAGTATCTGTGTAATCATGAGTCATCCTACTCTGAGAAAGCAGGTTGTCAGAAGGAAGCCAATTTGGGATTCAATGAAGCAAAATCCCCCAACTCGCATCTTCTAGACACAAGTGGAGCCTTAGTCTTAATGTACAATAAAAACAGGCAGGCCCACAAAGCCCTAGGTTGTGGCTTTAAATAATCTGGCTCAGGGCCACTGAGAGTGGATGATAGACATTTTTATGGACTCAGTATTGAGTTCTGGGAGCCAGCAGCCAAGTCAGCAGGTGTGCAGTATGCCTTGCCTTTGTGTAGAATCCAAGCCTTTTAATTATGGGTAAGTCAACTGCTTCCTGATTTATGCAGAACACTTTGGGAATACTAATTACTGAGCCATCACATCAAGGTGGCCGTTTAAGGTACATTAAGGTAATGGAACAGTTAATGCCTGGAACAACAAAATATATTCTCCAAAGTCCCAAACTGGCACAGGCCCTTCTCTATCTCCTCCCCCCGCCTGCGACAATTGCCAAGGCCACTTACACCCTCTTCCCTGCACTACTCAGTGCAGGGCAGAGTATTCCCCACCTCCTTCCCTGAATCCCTTAGAGCCTCCCACAGGGCACTTGGCACACACAGACACTCGAATGGAAGTTGGCTACAGAAAGCTGTGGGGTTGCCCCTCTCAGTTCCGCAACTGCTCTCAGGCCTACTCCCGTGTATTTTAACCCGACAGCACTTATTTTTAAATGGCGGAGGGTTGGGGCTTTTCAGACAATGTGATTTTCCTGTGGCCCAAGCTGACTTAGGAAAAACCCTGAAACTAACGCAAAAGGCTACTGTTGGGTCTCCTCAGCTCCCTTCCTTATCATCACCAGCTGTTCCTTTTCAAACACCTCTGTGCTTTGCTGTCCCACTCTCTCTGCCAAGACTGTCCCATGCGATGCTTGGCCTTGGGTCTGGTGGGGCTTCCCTCTCTACCCCTGCGCCTCGGCCTGCCTTTCTCTCCCTCCTCCTGTAGGAGGGCTGCTGCTGCTCCTGCTGCGGGGACGGCTGGAAACAGGTCAGGAAGCTGAAAGGAGATCCGTACACCCTTATTTCAAAGCTTTACGTGAAAAAAAATTTGCGTTGCCAAAACTAGGAATAAAGCCTTTGCAGGTGGAGCTTTGAGAAACAGTGAAAGTGAGTCCCGAAATTTCAATGGTGAATTTTTCTGAAAAATTTTACAGAAACATATAAAATGACAAGCTTTTGTTTTTATAAAATAGATATATTGATAGAAATGAAGAGATTATCCAGATTTTTCCTGTGCTCAGTAATCCCAGGTCACTGATGCGCCATATTGGGGCCCCTAAACAAATGCCTACAGGAACCGGGCAGATAATAGAATGATAGCCAACTTCAGAGAAGGACAGAGGCTGGTCTGCTCCACCCAGTTCTTGCCAGGGAACGTGGAATCATTGATGCCAGATGTGATTTTTCAAGGAGCTTGAAAATCCAATTTGTATGTGTGTATATATGAATATATGTATGTGAAATTTGTCAGTTTTAAATTGTTGGCTTAATTTTTTTAAAAGCAGACCAAACAAAACTTATATTCCACCTCTGTTCTGGATTTAGAGAATCTGTTCAGGATAAAGTTTCAGAAAAGAAGACAGTAGAAAAGGGTCAAATCAGTTAAGTATTAAGTACTTATATTTAGGGTTTCCTAAATACAATAGAAAAGATTGCCTCCTGTCCAAATACAGTTATAATCTCCATGCATATGCTTGCAACTCACAGTTCAAGTTCTCTTTGATATAATTTGTAAGGTTCAATCTCCTTTATCTTGGGTCCCTTTTTAAAGGTTGGAGTGAAGTTTTGCATTCCTGTATCCACAGGGCTGACTTTGTTCAGAAAACTTGCAACTTACCAAAGCCTAACCCAGAAGGTCAAGTCAGTCTTTCTTCCAGGAATATGCACACTTGTATCCAAACAGTTTAGTAAGTTAGCGTGAGGGGGAGACAGATGAACAACAGGGACTTTCCTCTAGCCTCTACCTGGGGATTTTCTAAGACACTGTCCTCAGAAAAGGACACAGCAGCTCACAGTTGCACTGATGTGGAAAGATCTCATCCTCCAGGTGGCAAATTGCTAATATTCCTGCTCATGAGTTTCCTTTCTGAAATTTCTTTTTGGAGATCAGGAATTTAAACCTATGCCATTCTCTTGTAGATAACTGGAAATTCCTACCTAAAGAGATCGAAATTTCTGCCCCAAACTGATGGCAGCACCTAACTCCTTCCAGCTGCATCTTGGGCGGCACCCCTCCCTCCTTCCTGGAGGCTTAGCTAGCCGGCACCCCCACTCACCTTCCGAGGTGCGAAGAGCCACACAGGCAGCCAAGGCCAGGAGAGCGAGTGCTGTCTGCTGCATTCCTGCCGGCTCCACCAGCTAGGACAGCACTGCAGGTGAGGCTGTCAGATCAGGAAATGAAGCTAAAGGTGTCCCTGGGTGCAGAGAAAGCGCGCAGAGGAAAAGTGAGCCAGGAAGCCCCGCCCTGGGAGGTGCTGGGGTACCTATTTCTCATGTTCCTTTCCTTGAGACCAGGTTCTTTCTTAAGAGCACACCTGTGTTCAGACCACCTGGGGGGTCAGGTGACGTCAGTGGCGACCTGGCAGCTGGTGAGGTCGTTGTGAGTTGGGGTGTGCATAGAATCACTTGGGAACCATTAAAAAAAAATAGCTATCTACATGAATTTCTCCACAGATCTATCAATCAGAATTTGAGAGTAAGGGACCAGTAATTTGAATTTTTAAAACGCTCCATGGGTGATTCTGATGGACACCCCTATTGAGAACCATTGCATAAAGGAATCAGAGTGTTTAGCTTGTTGAAACTAGGCGTTTCTGGGGACAAGGGTGACAAGTCATAAAAAAATTATCTGGTGGAAAGATATGGAAAAATTTGATCCCACATTGTTTCCAGTGAAGCTGTTAGTTTATTTAAGAGACAGGTAAGACAGGTAGAGGGACCTCATCCCTCTTCCCTCTAGGCTGTGCCTTTTCTCCTAACTGATTGCATAACCTCAGAAAATGTACTTAACTTTTCTGCAAATAAGGTGTCAGCCTGGATGATCTCCAAAGTCCTGCCATGCTTTCTCTATAAGTGCGCTGTCCCACATGGTAGCCTCTTGTCCACATATGGCCCTTGAGCATTTGAAATGTGCTAGTCCAAATTCAGATTGCTGTAAGTATAAAATGCACATCGGCTTTCAAAGACTTAGTACCAAAAAATATAAAATATCCCGTTAATAATTTTCATATTGATTACATGCTGAAATGATACTATTTGGATATATTGAGTCGAATAAGATATATTATTAAAATTAATTTTGTCTTTTTTTTTAACTTTTTAATGTGACTACTCAGAACATTTTAAATTACGTATGTAGCTTACGTTATATTTGCATTGGGCAGTGCTGCTTTAAAAGGTCAAGAGCTTGAGGTCAGAATTGTTTCCCCCACCCCTGTCAAGTTGTGGTACTTAACCAGCCTCCAATTTCACTCTCAAGAACTGGAGTTATATAGGAAGTGAGAACGTTGGAGGGCAAAGATGGTGACCTCCTGAATGAGAAGACCCAGCCACGCAGAGCAGCAGTTCCAGACTCTGCCACCAGGCAAGGGGACCTTACCACAGGTCTTGATAATAGAGCACAGAGAACCTGCAGAGGTGACTGTCAAGGCCTCTGAAATTATGTGTACCCATCACAACCACTGCAGCCTCTCTGGACCCAGCAGTGTGCTTTGAAGTTAAGAGTTGGAAGTTGCGCCAAAGACATAGCCTGAAGTATCGAAATTTACAAAACACCACTTGTACCTAGACATCCACCAGCCTGCCGCTGCACCTGAAATTCCCGCCCCGAGTCCTTCCTGAGGATGGCTTCCCTGCAGTAGAAAAAGGCCTCTGTTCAGATCAAATGAAGGGTGACTGTTGGGTAACAGGAGTGATTTTTAATGCAACAGGACAGAATTTATGCAGAACTATTGGGGCACTGACAAGGAAGCCTGGGCTCGATTTTGATGAGCCTGGGGTTAGACAGACCCTGTGAACTTACTCGTGTACTCATTTGTTTCTCTGACAGGACAGCTTCCCTTTCACTGTGTGCCTGTTTCTTCTGCTAGGAAATGTCACCATGGCCCTGCCAGGAAGAAGACATAGGGACAGCATCCAAAGACTTGGAAAGCATAGGGGCCCCTCCTTGAGCTGTCACAGGTGATTAGCACTTTCCCTCTCCTCCCCACTGCTTCCTGCAGGGCACTGACATGAGATGGTGGGTTGGGTGGTGGTTACTGGAAGACAGCTGGTATGACATGTGGAGCCAAAAGTATTAAAGCCTGCAAGCATGAAATCCCCACCATTAGAATCCTGGCCTTGGGAGGGCCATTAAGTGAACCTAGGGTAAAACAGCAAACCAGACATCCACCAGCAGGATCTGATAAACCACTGGAAAACCCTGTGTCATGTCGTTATGTAACAAGACATGGATGAGAGGAATGCTGGGCAGATCAGTTTTGATTAGGATGAGGGGAAAACTGAATGGTGGGACATTTGTCTGCAGAGAAAATGGTGCAAGCTATAATTACAGGGTTCTCGTGTCTGTGTGTGGCTGGGGTGTTCACCAGGCAGACATGGACCAGAATCAACTAGGAAGGAGCCTCCAAAGAGCGAGATCAGAACAACTTTGATTATTGAAATATTTTTATCTGGACTTGGGGCTTCTACAAAACCAAATGAGAAGGAGCCTGGGAAATGTGTGCCTTTAGGACACACATTTAGGGATAATTGGAGGGTAGGGCCGGAGGATGAGACAGTTTGGGGACAATTAAAGCTATGTATGGTTTTGTGTTCTCCATGGTGAAGTGTCCTGGCTAAGAATACCAGGATGCAACCTTTTAAAAAAGTGCTTTTTTTACTCTACCAGGAAAAACCAAATTGTTTTCACTTTAAAGAGAAGTAAAGTGTAAACCTCAGGCTGTCATAAAAATACTTGATGTTATCCATGCTCTAGGTAAAATGACTGGTTTGGATTAGGGAGATGAAGAAGATTTCTAAACAGTAGCTTTCACAAAATAGAATCAGGCCAGTGAAGTTCCCTTGAAGATGTGTCTTGAAAATTAGTATATAGAGGGACTATTTTGAAAGTGATGTCAACATTTAAATGCTCTAGAAGAATCTACAATTTAATGGACCCATTCTATGAATCTTCTGATGTTGAGAATAATCACCCTTTAACCTGTGTGATATGTGAGTTCTGATTTGTAGATGATGGATTTGTTGAAGCAGACCAGAGCCAAACAGCCGTCTCATATTCAAAACTGGGGTCCAAATACTTTATGGCAGGCTCTGAGTTACAATTTTTAAAATTAATATATTGTTCTCTTCTAATTACAAAATTATGTTGGGTCCGTCGTAGAAAATTTGGGATGTGTGAAAAAGTATAAAGAAGGAAATGTTTAAATAGCTAGCAATGAGCTTTCTTAACCTTTTGGTGCATATTCCTCCAGTCTTCTTTCTGTGTATATCTAGTCGTTCGTTCACTGCGTAAAGCTTTATTAGGGATCTACTCTGTGCAAGATGTTGGGTTAGACAAATGGCGAGCAAAGGGGCCATAGTCCCTGCTGCAAGGGGGACAGACAATTAAGCAAGCCACAACAATCAAGTCAGGTAAGTGCCCGCACAGGACAATGCAATGCTTAGGGCACCCAGAGCAGGGGCGGTTCACCCAGTCTGGGAGTGAACCAACTCTAAAACATTTTTTCTAACTGCTGCCTCGTTTAGTATTCCATAATACAGAGGTATTGTACTTTATTGAACCAACTTCTTAATCCTGAAGGTTTAGATTTAAAAGTTTTTATTTTCACTATTATAAATAATTCTGCAATGAATCACTTATATAATCTAAACCTTTATGCTCCTTCTTTAGAACAAATTTTGAAAAGCAGAATTGCATAGTTAAAGGGCATAGTCATTTGAAAGGCTTTTGATACATATTCAGTCCATTAAGCTGAAAAATTTACCTACATTTTTATCTCTAACACTTTCCACATTTGTCTGGCGTCCCACATTGATGGCTATAATTATATAAATCAAATCACATTCTTTAAAATGGCTCTGCAGAGCACATGACAGGGCACTTCCCTCCTCTGAAGATCTATTTCCCAAATCAGGATTTAAGGATTTTCTTGTGCAGGGCCTTCAATGCCCTCAGTGTACCTTGTGTAAATAGGAAAAAGTGTCCCTCTCTGGGTGGATGCAGCCTCGAGACCCACAGCTTGACAAGCAGAAGGTGCTTACGAAAACAAAAGGCCTCCTTTCTCTATTAAAAAAAAAGGGAGGAGGGCTGGCCCAGTGGCATAGTGGTTAAGTTTGCACACTCCACTTTGGTGGCCCGGGGTTCACAGGTTCAGGTGCCGGGCACAGACCTACACACCGCTTATCAAGCCATGTGGCAGGTGTCCCACATATAAAGTAGGGGAAGATGGGCATGGATGTCAGCCCAGGGCCAATCTTCCTCAGGAAAAGGAGGAGGATGGCAACAGATGTTGGCTCAGGGCTAATCTTCCTCAAAAAAAATAGGGGGTGCCCCTTCCTCTGGGACGATGTAACCAGTATGTGTGACTTGGCAAGCAAAGCCTGGCCTGCATTTTCGCCCAACTTCTTCTTCAACAGGTAGCCTTCTGTAGTACACAAACTGCAAAACCATCCACAGCAGTCTTGATCTTCCTGTGTCCTCTCTGATTTTGTTGCCCTTGCCTGGACCATCTTCCGAGCCTTTTCCATCCCATCTGGAAAACTCCTACTCATTCTTTAAGGCACAGCTCCAGCATCACTCTGTGCATCTCCTTGCCCTCCTTCTTTTCTTCCTCACCCTCGGCTAGGCTACCATCTGCTCTCACAGCCTTCCAGGCTGCTCCTTGTGAGCAAGAAACTCTTCTAGTTAGCTTTGCCTCCTCTAAGTGCAGCTATGGTGGACACACAGAAGGTGCTTCACTTGTGTTTCTGAAAGAACGCCTGCTGAATCACTGTCACTGTACTCACCACCTTATGTTTTTATAAACTTTAGTTCCAGAAGAAAAAACACTCAGGTTCTTTGTGAAATATTTATATGAATATAAAATATATTTATTTATATTAATATATAATTATCTTTATCACAATATATTATATGAAAATATAAAAATCATTTATAACCAAATAGCCAATCAAATGTGAACTCCTCTTTAACATTTTTTTGTTTTTTTTTTTTGTGAGGAAGACCAGCCCTGAGCGAACATCGGATGCCAATCCTCCTCTTTTTCTTTTTTTTTCCGCCGAGGAAGACCAGCCCTGGGCCAACATCCGTGCCCATCCTCCTCTACCTTATATGGGACGCCACCACAGCATGGCCCAACAAACGGCACGTCGGTGCGCACCCGGGATCCGAACCAGCGAACCCCAGGCTGCCGCAGCGGAGCGCGCACTCAACCTCTTGTGCCACCGGGTTGGCCCCACCTCTTTAACATTTTGATGTATATCCTTTTAGATTTTTTTCATTTGTTTGTAA